ATAAATAAATAAATAAATAAATAAATAAATAAATAAATAAATAAATAGATAAATAAATAAAAAGTATTAAGAGAAAAACAGATAAGAAAAGAAAAAAAAAGGGGGTAAAATGAAAATGTAGATAGATTAGTAGAGATCATGTTAGACATTCAAGTATAAAGGTTCGATATCTAAGGAGTTTTCCTATAGAAAATCCTTTCACATCTGGGTTTGCATTCACATCTGCCTTTTAGATAAAGAGATCCAGAACTTTCTGCTGGTCTAAAGCCGATGAAAAATGGCCGCACGGTTCTAAGATGCAGGTCTGGCTCTGAATAACTAAACAATTAGATAAGATGTGCCAAGATATCTGTAAATCGATGAGCTGACTGAAGGTGTGAGATAAGCTCCCGGCCACTCGATAACTTAATTAAGCAAATTTCCTCTAAATTCCAAGAGAGCGATGAGAGGATCCAAACGCAGGTGGACAGGAGGGAACTATTTTAATTAAGTTCATTCAGCAACAACAAAAGGCCAAACAAAAGAGACGGAAAACCGAAAACCTGACTGAGGACGAACCCAAACGGACCTGAGGGCAAAGTCAAGTATGAAGACCACAAAGACGAGGTCAGGATAAAGAAAAGGGATTAAAGAAAGCACTAGTGCCACAAAAACAGAAACCCCAGAAAAAAAGCAAAACAAGAGAACTCTAAAGAGGAAAAAATAGAAAACAAGACAAAAAATTCACGAAAAAAGCAAAACAAGATAACTCTAAAGAGGGAAAAAACAAACAAGAGAAAAAATTAACAAAAAAAAGCAAAACAAGAGAACTCAAAAGAGGGAAAAAACAGAAAACGAGAGAAAAAATTCATGAAAAAAAGAAAAACAAGAGAACTCAAAAGAGGGAAAAAAACAGAAGAGAAAAAAAAATCGCAAAACAAGATAACTCTAAAGAGGGAAAAAACATGAAACGATAGAAAAAATTCACCAAAAAAGCAAAACCAGAAAACCCTAAAGAGGGAAAAATAGAAAGAGAAGAAAAAATCACAAAAAAGCCAATCAAGAGAACTCAAAAGAGGGAAAAAAAGAAAACGAGAGAAAAAATTCACAAAAAAAAGCAAAACAAGTTCACAAATGTATCCATTAAAAAGTCGGATGTTGATTTATGTTCGT